CACACACACACACACACACACACACACACACACACACACACACACACACACGTCTTATCTCTGCTTTCTCAGCTCATGTCGCTGCTGTCAGAGAAAGTCCAGAGCCTCAGTTCTAACTCTTTCTTGTCCAGAGAGGAGACGAGCGACCATAAAGAGAAGGAGACCCGCCTCCTCTGATGTCATCTCACTTCGGACACCCCTAACGTGTATCTGTGTGTGTGTCCGTGCGTGTGTGTGTGTATGTAGGTCAGCTCCCAGTGAAACTAGGCCACTCTGCCGCCTGGACAGGCCTCACATTGTTGCAGCTCGGCCGTGACGAGAAAAGCTGAAAGCAGCAAACAAACGTTTGGATGAGAGAGGCCGACAGCTCCTACAGCCAGATCATCAGGGTGATGTCGCAGTGAAAAATGTAGAAAAAGCTCCTTCAGGCACTGCTGGGACTTGAACCCAGCAGGTCAGAGCACCTGTTTACATGCAGGTGCTCTGACCTGCGGACCTACATACCTCCTCCTTCCTGCTTTTGCTGAAGATTTCCTTCAGTTCCTTCTTACAGCTGCTTCCCTCAGGTCTCTGTAGAGCACATCATCTCCTAACCTAGCATCCTCCTCCATCACTACATCCATTAACCTCCTCCAGGTTCATGGATGTTCATCTCTAATTTTCTTAAGCTCAATGAGGATAAAACTGAAATCCTTTTTATTGGCACTAAATCCAACCTAGTGAAGGCAAACCATTTCTCACTAACTCCACAGTTTTCCCCTCACCTCAGAGCCTTGATGTCATCACAGTTCACTCTCCCATCAGTAATCTCAGCTGTTCTGCCTGTTTCCATCTACGCAACATTAACACGTCCTTCTCTTTCCACCCAGTCTGCGTCCATTCTTGTCCACGGTCTCGTTACCTCCCGCCTTGACTGTTGTAATTCTCTCTTGCACGGTCTCCCCCAAAAATCCCTCCATCAGCTTCAACTGGTTCAAAACTCTGCTGGCCCCATTATTACCAGACCCCCTCCTACCAGCACAGACCACCCGAAAGCTCTGCTCCCAGGCTGTGGAAGTTTCCACCCCCACATATAAGAAACACTGGTTCTCTCCCCCAGATTAAATCTCACCTCATGTTGAGAGCAGCCCTTCCATCAGCCTCTTTTATTAAAGTCTGATAATGAAGAGCATCTAAGTATAAAATAATGATTCCAGCTTTGGTGAGAAAACTGAACAGCCATTGATGACCTGTGATGGATGTTGAACCATATGATCACCTAGTTATAATAACATTGTTTAACCTGGTTAAAGAAGCAGCAAATATGTTAGCTTTAGCTTCTCATAGCAGGTGCTGTAGCTTAACAGGTTAATGTGCTTGCCTTGTAAACAGGAGATCCTGGATTCAAATCACAGCCGTGCATCCATGTGCTTCATGCCATTTAACTCCATCTGTGGTTTTCCTTTGACTCAGAGCAGCAAACCAGCCAAGTTTGGCATCATATTCGTGAATCACCGAGGACTAAACAGCTGACAGTCGTCCTGCTGCTTGTGTTTATTGACCCATCTTCCATTTCTCTGTCACGCCTTGATTGTCTGAACCGATTAAATCAGCAGGTTCAGTGAAGTCAGATAAGTTAAACTTTAATTTCATTGATATGAAAACACTGCTGGGATTTGAACCCAGGATCTCCTATTTACAAGGCAGATGCTTTGACCAGCTAAGCCACAGCGCCTCAGCCAGAACCCCGATTATCTGTTCTTAAAGAACTCCGATGGTCCCCCGATTGGGCCGCTGGTCTTTTTAAACAAGGTTCCTCCCTTGAATCAGTTAAGATGGTGTGTGTGTGAAAACACTGAGATTAGACTAGTCTGAGCTTCTGCAGGCTTCTGAGGTTCGGGAGGACAGAGCGAGCCGTAACGATGTCGAGCTTGTCATCTTCGCAGGACTCTGCCGTCCCAGCCCTGCACTGCTCAGAGACAAAGCAGCGAAGCTCGTCTGAGGGTAGATGTGCTCTCAGTAATGGTACACTGCATGGAGAGAAGATAATGATGGTAACCATGTATTTGTGCACCAACCACGCCATCCTTTTGGACAAAGATTGGATCAGAGCTGCAGGATGAAGCAGGGTGCTGGGTCACATCCAACAAGCTGATGGAGGATCCTCCAGCCAACTCTCACACTTCATATTCCTCCATTGATTTTTCCATCCTCCTGCTCTGTATTTGATTAATAAACTCCGGTGATACCACCACGAGCTCAGTCCCTGTGCTCAGTAACTACTGGAGGCTCTCACCTCATCACCAGTAAGAGGTTTAAAGGGGAGCTGGAACATAAATCCTGCCATGTGGGTATAGCTGCAAGGTTGCAAAATGCCCCTGATCCGCTCCACCCTGATGTTTGACAAACAGGCGTAGCGTCTCGGTGAGACGCCCTGGGTGACGGACCATTTTGGGACCATCTCATATTCTCTCTCTTACTCAAATAATATCATATAGAAATAATTAATAATATCAGTAGCATCATTTCAGCACCATGGACAGCAACAGCAGCCAGAGGTCATCCATGCTGGTCTGGAGAGCCTGAACCGACGGCAGCTGGACTTCTTCTGTCCGTGAGATGTTCACATTTAGAAACTCTTCACTTCTAAAACAGGTGAAAACCCCCCAGAGGGGGCCGTCCCCAGAGGGGGCCGTCCCCAGAGGGGGCCGTCCCCCTTGGAGGCGCTCCTGAAAATCGTTGAGCCACTGTTGATGATGTGAGACATCACATGATCAGGGCACCATCGTGAGCTCCTCTTCAACCAGGCATGGAGCACAGACAAGAGGCCCGATTGGACAGCTTCCACATATCACAGTGTGAGATACAGGAAAGGATTGCATGCAGGAGGCGCTGTGGCTCAGCTGGTTAAAGCCCCTGTCTAGTAAACAGGAGGTCCTGGGTTCAAATCCCAGCAGTGCCTGTTTGGCGTCTCACACAGCAGCTGTGTTTTTGTAGCGTTTCCTTTCAGCAGGAATCCAAAGTCTCACTTTCTAATAAATTATGATTTTACACTTGGTCTCGACTTGCAGGTCAGCATTTTATAAACACGCTCAGAATGCTAGCTTATCGTACACATCTATCAAAAAATGGTAAAAGGCTGTTGTTTTGTAGCAACCTTCCTCTGAATGCGTGCATCCCTGCAGTCACCAGGAGGACCACATACAGCCTCCCGCATGATGTCAATTGTTAGGGTCACATGAAGTCCAATGGATCTTAGCCCTGATTAAAGGGGGAAGTAATAAAGGTGTACTAAAAGGCACTGCAGGGATTTGAACCCAGGATCTCCTGTTTACGAAACAGGCGCTTTGACCAGCTAAGCCACAGCGCCTTGGGACTGAGGTTTGGGGTTTCTCTGTATTATTGCTAACTTACAATCTAAAGCACCTCGAGGTAACTGCTGCTGTGATTTGGAGATAAAAATGAAATTGAATTGGAATGTATTAAAGATCCAGAACCCCAAAGTGTCCAGGAACAGTGTCACTGTTAGCGTCTTCTTCTGTTCCCAGACTGAATTTAAAGTCAACCCCCCACCAAATAAAGTTTTTTCAAGTGTTAACCACAGGAGGGCACTTTCTGTTGGTGTGTAGAGCAACCTGAAACTTCTCAGGGATGAACTTTCAACACAAAAATACAAAAATGCGACTTGGTGTCCTCAATGGTGGCTGTCCCACAGTGTGGTTCCAAGCAGATGCCAAAGTGCTCTTACATAAAGAACTGATGACGTCACTGTGGGGCTTCATGTGGATGGTTCAAAATGCCAAATCCTGGTGATGAGGAGTGGTTTGCTTCTCTCTTTAAAACCTCACAGCTAACTCATGAGAGCAGGAACGTCTGTTTTTCTGTCTAACATCGAAACGTCTTCCAGCTCTGTGAAAAGCTCCTCTCGTGTTTTCCTCTGAGAAACTGAAGCGTGAAAGTTGAGGCCTCACCCTGCTGACGCGCTGTTTCTGTAACGTGTCCAGATTAGGTTGTGCAGACGTTTTAAAGCTGATTAAATCTTTTCCCATTTCATGGATTGTTTCGTGGAAAACCATTTCAGGATGAACGAGTGCGCGCTGACCTGTGAAAGGTGACTCACACGTGGTCGTCTCTGTGTTTGGACAGATCTCTCCAGGCAGCAAGGCGGCGCAGGGCAACCTGATGCAGGGTGATGTCATCGTCGCCATCGATGGCGTCAGCACCGAGGGGATGACTCACCTGGAGGCCCAGAACAAAATCAAGATGGCAAACTACAACCTGGCACTCACCATGTCCAAGTAAGAACCGACTCCTCCCTGCTCACACTTCCTGTCTGTAACAGCTTCCTGTTTGTCCTCCTGCTGTCTGGAGCTCAGATGTTGATGTGAAAACGTAAACCTTTTAGGCCCCACACAGGTGACAGTTACACCTGCCAGTCTCTGAGGTCACATTGATTGGTAATAACTCGTTTGGGGCGTCAGAAGATCTGAAGGTGTCTGACGGTTTTTATGATTCTGTGTTTTTTGCATTCGTTATTCACTCTGCAGAAAAACTGGTCAGATATCATAAACAAAAAGTCCTGTTGGGTTTAAAGTGGACAGGTTCTGCTCATCTGCACCTCCATATTTTATCCTCACAATCTCCTGCGACAGCTTTGCATGATTCACAGTTCAAAATAATCCTTCTTTGTGTGATATTAAGCCTCCGTGCACCGCCTCAGCTCATCGTCTGTCTGAAATGTAGTTTGTGAAGTTTCTTTTCGTTCTTTTAGTTCTTCGGGTTTTCCGGGTTAGATGTTTTGATCCTGTTGTCCTGTGTGCGATGTTGGGTTGAAGCGCACGGCCACTGCCTGGAATGAAGGTTGTGGATTTTGGGATTTCCCTCAGTCTGCTGCATCCTTTGCGCTTGGATCATTTCCTCCTTTCAGCCATTACGTTTACGTCTCTTTGTGGCATGAAGACGTCTGACAGCTGAGAGGGGAAATGAATGTTGGTCCACAAAGCGCTTCCTGCGGTCTCTCATAACCACGGAGCCTCAGGGTGATGAAGATAAGACGCTCAGCTCAGGATGAAGAGACGCCGTTTTTCTTTCCTATTGTTGTTTTAAATGTTTTGCTGGTGTGAATTCAAGCTTGTGATGTAGCGGTGGAAACAGGCCAGGAAATCATTGTTAACCCCCGCTCACCCTCGAGCTGTATCGACTGATGAGGCGGACCGCTCACAATAAACTGACTTCACTCAAGTTTTCATATCGGGGTCATTTTCCTTTTCCCACCAGAACAAAACGACCGTAACGAACCTGTGAAGAGACAGAGGGTGAGATAAAAACCTCAGAAGACCGTACACTGAAGATAACCACAACCTTATCGTCATCATAACATCCTGTTTGATTCTCTTTTATTCTAATGGGACCGAAAACATCATTTTGCTTCTTTTCTCGACCACAGGAGTCGCCCCCTGCTGCTTTCAGATGGCCCCGCCCCTCCCTGAGCCTGGTTATGGTATCTTCTGTTTAGAAGACAGATGCGTTACCCAGCTACGCCCCACTCCAACAGCACAGACATGGTGCAGAGGTCCAGTTCAAGGACTCCTGTTAGCTAAGGCAAAGCCTAGCAGGCAGCTAGCAGCTAAAGCTGCCAACATGTAGGACAGGGGTGGGGAACTCCAGGCCTCGAGGGCCGGTGTCCTGCAGGTTTTAGATCTCACCCTGGGTCAGCACACCTGAATCACATGACTAGTTCATTACCAGGCCTCTGGAGAACTTCAAGACAGGTTGAGGTCTCACACCAGCCTTCGAGGCCTGGAGTTCCCCACCCCTGATGACTTTTTTTCACCTCCTGGTGTTCCTATAGTGATCCACTGTCAGGTGAAGTCTCTGAATCTTGAATATGAACTGAGAGCTGCTGAACAGGCGACAGTGCTGAGTGGAGTAAAAGAAATTTCCCCTGACGGCGGGTCAGGCTGGAAACAGTGAGGCTGTGGTTGGCCCTGTGGCCTGCAGCAGGAAGCTTCATTACTCTTCAGAGCAGACGTTCTCTTTGTGTTCATTCTCATCGCAGCTCTCAGACCTTGTCTTTCATTTCTTGAGGCGAGCATTTGGAGCCGACTTTTTTTGGTTTTGTGCCCTTACTTTCACCTTTTCTTCCATTTGCTGCAATTTTATCCGACTTAAATTTTCCTGTTTTCTGTCGTCAGTCTGCTTTAACATCTGACCTGCTTTTATTATTTTCTCTGGAGAAATTGAAGCTTTTCCTGCTGCTGATGTTTTTTCTATAATAGCCACAAGTAAAGTGATTTGTAAAAGTCCTGCTTAGACGTTTCATCACACGGTGGTTTCAGTTTGTTTTTGATTATTAAACCTGCTGGATGGACGCTGTCCCGCTGCCGCTCTGACAGACTACACTGTTAATCTGTCAGAATGCAGATGATTGATGAAAACCAGACTTTACGGTCGTTTCTACGAGGCACAAATATTCAGAGGAACGCACGAGAATTAAAACCTTCACGTTTCATTTTCATCTTCTCTCTCTTAGATAAGCTGCCCTCCTTTCATTTCACGATGCGAGCGTCAATGCCTCTCTTTCTTTTCTCCGTGCAGGTCGAAGCGTCCGATTCCGATGGCGGCACCGAGAATGGACGCCACGATTCCCGTCGTCCCTCACCAGCAGGTAAATGAACCCATAATGCATCAAAATCATTATTTTATTCTTCAACAGGATGAATTTGCTTCACCTTTGTTTTGTCGGCATATCTGGCAGGGTACAATGATTACAGAGAAGTAACAACGCTGTAATGCACGCATACAGGTTTCCTCATACTGAAGTAACTTAGTCATTAATTTATGCATTGGATCATTTTAGTCTGCAGTGACTATTTATATTTTTAATCTTTGTCCTGTATTTGTGCAGCACTGGTTATTTTTGTCTACAGTGAAAACAACCCCCCCCCCCCCCCCCCCCCCCCACACACACACACACACACACACACACACTTTCTCCACTCTCACTCACACATACACACACACACACACAAATACACACACACACAAACACACACACACACACCAGATAAAGGTATTTTGGAGAAACGTATACGGCTGCTGCCCCCTGGTGGCTGCAGGAAAAAAATGCAAGAAAGGCCAAACTCAGCACCTCAAAAATGTTTTGTGCAAAAACAAAAATGCAGGAAAACAGGAGCAGTCATGATGAATTTCATTTCCTGTTTAAGTTAAGAGATTTCCAGCAGTGATGATAAGTGATCCAACAGATTAACTTAAAATGAAAGGAATGTATTTGGTCAGTTTATTTATTTTCACAATAATTATTTATTTTTTCTTTTTGATGATTTTCTCAGTCACTTTATGCTTTCAGGCTTTTATACTGAAAGGATTCCATGGTTAGAATAACAGCACCTTGATTAAAAAAATATATCGTCTTTTAAGCGTGTGCTCTGCTCCCTCTCCTTCCTGTCTCCTCCCCCTTCCTGACGCCTCCATCGGTGCAGGTAAACGGCCGCAGTACCTCCTCCGGGCCTGCAGAGGCAGACTCTCCCGGGGGGCGTGCGGCGGCGGTCAGCCCCGCTCAGAGGAGGCAGTATAACTCCCCCATTGGCCTGTACTCAGAGGAAACTCTTAGGGAGATGGCCGCGATGCAGGCGGGTCGACCTGCGGGGTAGGTGGAGGCGTTAGAAGCCCGGCGACATGTTTGATGAGAGGTCAAGAAGCAGAAACAGATTCAAAGATGGTTCAAAGAGGAAGAAAAATACGTTTCCTGTTTGGTGCGGTACCAGTAACTGCTGTCTCCGGTGTCTCGGTTCATACAAAATAATTCACGTGGACCCATTCTGCTCATTTCTACATTTATAGTCCTGGATTCTCGTTCAGCAGCTCTGCATGATTCACAGTTTGAAATAATCCTTCTTTATCTGATACTGGGCTTCTGCTCAGCCTATAGGTCAAGCTGTTTTAGCTCCGCCCCCTTCAAGAGGACTTTTTATACTATAGGTTCATGTTAACCTTGCAGTAATCTCAGTAACCTTTGACCTTTGACTCCAAAGAGGAGAAACATGAGTGCATCTGAACCTTCAGTGTCATAAAAGTGAAACCAAATCAGTGATGCTGTCACGTGTCCTAAAAAAAACATGTTAAACTGCAGCTCCACCCATACACACACCACACTTACTCTAAAACTTACTAATGTTCTCAATGCGGACTTGATGTTTTCATACCCTGAAAGAGGTCCACCTCTCAGATTGTACTTGGCAAGTGTTTGCAGACAAGCTGGCGTCTCCCATGCAAACTGCAGGCCACTGCAACAATGTGCATTTGCAAATATGAACAGCTGACCTGGACGCGATGGAGCTCAGATACGTGCTGTGCAGCTAAGTTACAGCTAGCTGGCTAACCTTAGATTGCTGTGTAATGTTGTCTCTATGTAAATCATGAGTTAGGCCACCTCAGCGTTAGCCTTTGACCTTATGTGGAGTTTGTGTTGTGCTGCGATGTCAGTGACTGTTTCTAAGCTGGGAGCAGAAGAGCGTCACGTCACACGTTACTTTACAGAAAAAGGTGCAATGAGCCGGCCGATCCAAACACTTCTGCATCAGCTGCAGCTGCAGTGGAGGTGTGTGTTTACAGTCACGAACACGTATAAACACACACACACACACACACACACACACACACACGGACACACGCGCGCCATTAATAATGTGATTCAGTTACTCCGTCACCGAGCCCAAACACCTGTTAGTTTGTTTGGCTGCTTTGTAAAGGTCAGGGACCCTCTGGACACACACACACACACACACACACACACACACACACACACACACACACACACACACATAATAATAATGATCCTGCTGTAATTATCATACCATATGCACATATGTCGCTGACTCTTCTTAGATGAAACTCACCATTTATGTGTTTTTTCCGCACATGTTATATTAATCATGTACAGTAGCTCGTCTCAAAGTTAACGTTGATACGTTCCTGCACTTCCATAAATAGGTTTACACTTAAGTATGCACACCCCTGGTTATTATTTCTACTAATATTACTGATAGCAATAATAATAATATCACCACTGCTGTTAATGAGAAGAGGAGCAATAAGAAGAAAAATACATCATAATCCAAAGAATTAGAATCGTAAATTAAGAAAAGGTAAACAGATAAATAACATTATGCATAATTATGTATCTGTGATGACAAGACAGAATAAGAGAAGACCAAAACAAAGAAACTTTAAAAAATGTCCAGAAGACACGTGACCCTAGCAAAGTCTGCCTCAGGCTCCATGCCCTGAAGCTGGGATCTGTGGGATCTGTGGGATCTGTGGGGCTGTGGGGCTGTGATTAAATCTTCCTCTTCACTCGCAGAGCGGACGTCACAGCAGCCAACAGAGGATGTGACCTCTGACCTCTGATGGACAGTGAATGATGCTGAATATGTTTTCTAACATCATATTCTCCTCTGTCTTCCCTCCTTTGTCCTTCCACGTGTTCGTCCTCTCTTCTGTCCCTGCTGTTGGTCAAGCAAGGTTTTCCCCCCCGCCGCTCCACCGTTAGTATCCTCTGCAGCTGAATGCATCTTGGATGTGTGTTTGTTTAAGGCATGGCGTGGGGCGATGGCGAGTGCGGTCCTGCAGCTTTACAGACTCTATTTCAAAATTATCCATGCAAACTGAAATTGCGGAACAGCTGGCTGCATGATGCATTTTGCTTTCTGTGGTTTTTTCATTATTTGGTGTTTTTCTGAGGCAACTCTACAGGAAAGTTTTCAGAATAAAAGCCTGCTAGAGTGTGAGAAGCTTCAGCCTTCAGGTTGTTTTTGTGCAGCAGTGAAGTGGACTAAATGTCAGCTGTGTTCCTGCTCTGATACGTTGGTGTTCTGGGATTAAAGGTCATGGTTTGACGCACTGCCTAAATGAGCTGCTGTGACGTTTTGCGGTGGACGCATGCGAATATTTCAAGCATGAAATTTAAAGCATCGTCAGTCGTTTCTAACCAATGTGCAGAAACCAGTTTGGGTTTTGTTGAAGTGGAAATAAGACTTTTCCTTTTTCTCTGCAGCTGTAAAGACCATCGCTCATGTTGTATTTATTACCCACAAAAAAAATGACCTAATTTTATAGGAGAGGTTTCAGCTTGTGTCCAGTGTGTCCTTTGGAAGTCCAACATTTGCAGAAAAAAGGGTTAAATTTAGTATTTTTATCAGCGTTTTGCAGCAACAATCTTTGAGGTAGATTCATCTAATGGTTCAGCATCTGCAGTGTGGCACGAATTTATTAGACGGTCACCAGAGTTCATGTGACAGCTGCTTAATCCACCTGTATGCACGAGCTCTGTTATCAGTTAGATTAACTATATAATTATGTTTGTTATCTGTGGGTTTTAAATTCTTCACCCTCATGAATGTGAAGCAGACTTGTAAATAAAATGCAGATGAAATCTATTAAATCAAAGGTTCTTTTGTTCAAATTAATTAATTAATGCTTGGTATTAACAGTTAATCCTGTGAACCTCAATCACACAAATCTAATTTATATTTAATGGAATCTGTTTTACAACATACATTTTTTACATGTAATCAAATGAATCAAAGTCGGCATAATTTTTGAGTCTGAGTGGGCGGAGAACGGATCGCTGTGGTACGCCACTCAGAGTTTTCTGTAGTCTGTCGTGATGCTGTGGGTGGGGTTTCCACCTGAAATGGAGGTTCTGTTGGAAACATTCAGCTTTAGCCTGAAAACTTTAGCCTCACTAGTCCGTCTGCTGTGAGCATGACAAACCCATCACCTTCACCCACACGCCTCACCTCCGTCCCTCCATCGCCTCCTTTATCTCCACCTTTTCCCCTCCTCTTCCCCACCCGACAGTGCTGGCTTCAATCCCAGCGTGCTGATGGACTCCGCCCTCTCCACCAGCAAGCCCATTGAAGTAAAAGGCCCCGGCGGTAAGGCCACCATCATCCACGCCCAGTACAACACGCCCATCAGTATGTATTCACAGGACTCCATCATGGACGCCATCGCGGGACAAACACAGACCAAGGGCCACGACGCTGGGTATGAACACCACCTCCTCCTCCCTCTCCACGTCCTCCTTCCCTCTTTCTACGTTGACTTTATCTCTAATTCTTCCTCCTGACATCCTCATCTTCCTCTTCTGTACCCACGTGCACCCCTCAACCCTGCCACCAGTTTTTTACACTTTCAGCATCAAAAGCCACAACACCACCTGGGTAATGACTAACACAGTTACTATCAGTCCTGCTGAGGGCTGATCATCCATATTTGTAGTTTTCTAACACGTGGATGTGTTGCAGGCAGCAGCGTTCAGTTTACAGGCTGATGCTTCGAGTACTCAACCCACAGATATTTCTTGATGAGAAATCACTTTTCATTTGTTGTTTTTGTCTTTTTCCCTTCGTCGCCTCTTCCTCCCTTTTCTTCTCTTTACTCTATTTAAGTGTCCTCCACCTGTCCTCTCCTTTCTGTCCGTCCTCTTTGGTCTCAGCCCGCTTCACGTCCGGCTCATCGCTGACACTGGTGGTGATGATTTTGGTGCTGCAATATTGTGCTGCCTGTTTGTGCACATGTGGGGAGAGGGTGACTTCTTCTGTGGTGGCTTCGAGGAACTGCTAAGGTTTCCGTGATATCAGAAAGCAGAATTTTTGGTTCGGGCTGCTCTGGGATCCTGTTTTTTTGTGCGTTGTGTGTTGTGTGGCTGAAGCCTCGGGTGTGCTGTGGGAGTCGGTCCGTATGAGGTGGACCAGTCCGAGTCAAATGTCCCCCAGAGAGACGTTCCCTCTGTCTGAGCAGGTCATCCCAATTTCTTCGCTCATGATCACGTTTGACCCTGTTACCTATCGTCTTGTTGCCGAATGCATTTCCAGCTCAGTCGCACTGATTTGTCAGAAACTGCTGATAACGTCATGTTACTGCTGTGTTTTTGGTGGTGTCTTCCTCGCCTGCTCTTCCTCTGAGATGTAGCGCTGTCGCTGTGTACTGTCCCCCTCCAAAGGTCTCCATGCCCATTCTTTATTTCAGCCTCTTTCATTTTAGACCCCGATAAAGCCGCTCTTATTGAAATATAAGCCTGAATAAAACTACTCATCTGTACAGGAGGGGGCATCTCTGGAAAACCAATTACAGTCCAGTATGATATCCTCCTCCTCCCTCACCGTGCGTCCTTCACTGAGAGCCAGTAAAAGCTTTGGTTCCCCTGAGTTGTGTTAAAGCTTTGAAAGATCAAACATCAAACACAAGACAGAAACATGACACGTGTCACCAGAACCAGCCGACAGGCTGCAGTCCTGCAGGGCGGAGCCAAATACAGGTGCACTGCAGGTAGAGGGGGCTTAAAGAACAACAAAAGATTTCAAGCTACTAAAAAAAACCTCAGAAAGATGGAAAACAACACAATGGTGTCATTAATAGTTTTTAATGTTAGCATCTGTAACCACAAAGAGACCCGAACATCCACACAAAGATTAAAAGACTGAAAACAGCCTGAAAGAGAAGAAACTGACTTCACAGCACAAACTGGTGGATGTTCAGAAAAATGACCAAAGCTGCAAAAACCCTGCCGAGGTTTCCGTTTATAAGAGAGAGCCAATCAGAAGCAAGCAGGCAGAACAGCTGGTGTCAAACAGGATGAGCTGCTGCGAGGTGCAGGACAAGACAAAGAACATAAATAAGGAAGTAGAAATGAGCAGAAAGGTTCAGGTCTGCCTGGGCTGGACAAAAAAAGAGACAGAAAAACAGATGGAATAAAGTCACAAAGATGCACAAATTAAACACGCGAGATACACAAAGAGACTCAAAGCTGAATGTTCTGAGCCTCTTTCTGTGTTTTATCTCCGTTTGTTCCTTTTTCTAACAAACCGTCCTCAGACATGCGAGTCCGGCTTCCTCTTGGCTCCATCGAACGCCTTCAATAACGTTTTGTTCGTGTGACCTTTGAAATATCAGATATTTAATTCCAGGGTTAGAAGGACGTCAAAACAGGGAAAACTTGTTTCCGTTCACTGCTGGGCCCACAGCTCGTGCTTCACTGTCTCTTTATTTTTCACTTGCTTTGGTCGTGGGCGACGCGGCGCCCCCTGTCTGTGGTCCCAGTTCTGTCCCAGTCATGGACCGCCTCGTGGACAGCGCCTCGCTGGTCTATCAGGCCGTCCAGAGCACAGAGAAGGACCCGGAGCTGAGCGAATGGAGCCGCCGCAGCACCAACGTGCAGTCCAAGTCCTTCCAGGTCCTGGCCCACATGACCGGCACCGAGTCCTGTAAGTGTCCTCTTCCTCCTCTTCCTCCTCTTCCTCTTCCCCGTATTGTCCTCAATTATTTAAAACAGCAAATAAAAGCAAGAACAGACTCATGTATGTTTCCATACAAACAAAGGTGTGTAATTAGAGTAAACGATTACCTGTGGGAATGATTTTAAAGTTAAATCTGATCATCAGGTGCTCAGTGTCGCCCCCTCTCCTCTGTTTCTGTTACAGCGCTCACTGAAGAGGAGGCGGCGGCTGTGAAGAGGAGCAGGTAGGCAGCAGAGCTCCAGTAGTCAGCTGCTGACCCCCTCACCTGTAGTCTCGACCTCATCTGCCCCGGACATGAGAACACCTGCACAGGCGGTCTCTGTTTGAGGCTCTGATATATACGTAAACGTGATGTGATTGGTTGGTGTCTGAAGCCTTTTGAATCTGCTCACGTGTAATGAGCTCATGTGACCAGCAGGAGGGGACACCGGACTGTGTGTGTGTGTGTGTGTACCTGTTTAGACGTCCTTGTGGGGACAGTGTTCGTCCTCACGGGTTTGAAGGCATTTTTGAGGCTCATAGTGTGGGTTTAGTCTCAGGGGTACAGTTAAGTTATGGCTGGGGTTCATTTTTGGTTGAGGTGAGCAGCTAGGGATTCTGTCAAATAGATGTCCTCACTGAGATATCAAAACGAGAATGTGTGTGTGTATTTGCTCAGAGGAAACATCATTTAAAAAATTGGTGGGGCACCTCTTTAAGCGCCGGTCGCAGGGTTCTGTTAAAGCAAGCCTCACCATCCAGACTGATTCAACTGCATGACACCACGCAGACACCAAAGAGTCCTCAGATGTGCTGAAAGGTTTCGATTACTGCCAAGGGACCACGAGGGACTCCCCTCCTCTTTGGTCCTTTATTTATTGATTACTGGTAACTGGTGTTGATTGGTTAAAGAGAGAAAATCAGTGTGCAGAGGAGAGTCATCCTCCAGCTCTTTATTGTCACGTTTAGCCGAGGCAGAAAAAACTGAAAGTCAAGCAAAAACCGCAAACGTGACAAAGCAGACTTTTTACTCTCAGCCTGTGTGACGTCATACAGTCAAACTAAAGTATGCAGCCTGCAGGTACTCGACACTCTGCAGGACTCTGCAGACATCAGGTTATCAATAGGCGGTGAAGCTCACAGCTCGCAGTTAAAATCTCCACATTTCACCTGCAGAAACATGAACAGCTGAGACTGTCAGGTTTGGAGCATGCCCAGTTTAAACAGGCTGCTGTGACTTAGCATGTGCAAATAAGTGTCTGTGTTTAAGAGTTTTAGGTCTAATGCTGGTTTCAGGGATCAGGTGCCTCAGACGGCAGACACATGGCTACTTATATCTCAGTTACACCACCTTAAACCTTCCGTGGCTCAGAAGTCCTAAACAGGGCTTTATGTGGCCGAGGACGGTCTAAGAGTCCGCGCTGTCAGACAAGCCAGGTGTGGTGAGCTGCAGGTGAGGGCTGGGCCGAACGTCCGCTGACGACCTCTGAAGGTGTCACTGCCCTCAGTCTGTTTTCCATGACTTCCTGTTTCCCCAGCGGCTCGTCTGAAATCTCATCACAGCCGAGTCTCCGAGAGGACGAGCAAACCTTTCAACCCCGCCCCACCCGTACAGCCCGTCCCAGCTCTGATGGATGGAGCTTTCTATTCTCCGTGCACTTATTTAATCAACCCTCCATTATGCACCATCGATCTCTGCCCCCTAATTTGGACTGAAATACAACCTCCTCCCCCTCAAAGCTCCGGCTCCCCTCTGTCCTTCGTCAGAGTCCATACGCCATCCAATGACTCACCGTGAATCAATAGGAGCAGAGGTCAAGCTTTTATCCGCCAATAAAGAGACTGTGTGCTTTTTTTCTCTTTAGCTGTAAGTCATCAAGGAGGAAGCAGCTGGATTAGACTCACAGGGCTGAGCTGGAAGCCTCAAAGCAGAGAAGCAAAGACACAGAAAGAAATTTTTCACTGCAAAATCCAGCTTCATGATCCCGATCATGCTGGGAAATGTAAAAATCTATCAGTTAAAGGTGGTTTATTCTGCTTATCTCAGGATCTGTGTTCTTATTCTGGCACAAGTTTTAATTATTTCTTATTTATCTGAATGGCTTTGTGCAGCAAAGTCCTCAGCCTGAAACAAGGAGCTGGTGTCCGTACACCTCTAATGTAGAATGACTAGTGCTGACTGGCTCTGACTAACAAACACATGTTGGTTGGCTAAATATAAAATCCTTTGTCTTATTCCTCTGTCCATGGAAAGAAAAACTGAGTAGAAGCAAATAAATTAGCTTTTTAAAAGCCTTTCTGAAGTAGCTTTGCATGTTTCACAAATCAAAATAATCTATCGTGTGCAGGAAAACACTCTCAGAATAAAAGTTTGTCCTACGATGTCTCTCTGTTCCTTTAAAGCAGAGCTAATCTGTTAAATAGAAGCTCTGCAGCTTTGCATGAGTCACAGTTCATCCTGCGTCTGAAACAAGCTGTTTTAGCTCCTCCTCCTGCATTTAGGCCAAGTTTGGTGGGTGTGGCTTTGGCATCTGCGATGACTATATTAGGAATATCCACCCTCTATGACATCATCCAGATCCAAGAGTAAAAAACTGAGATAATCAGAGTGTTTAAATCCACCTGGGCTTACGCTGACTTCTTTTCATGCAGGTCTGTGCAGCTTAAACAGCTTCATCGATGATTATAAGAGACACAGTGACAAGGTTGCAAAGAGTGCAAGGAGGAAGAAAATCAAGGGGTTAAGAGCTGAGATCAGCCATGACATCAGCACACGACGGGACACGGGGAATAAAACAGAGTTCAGTAAAATAAAATAAAAACCTGGACAAAGGGTCTGTTTGCTCAGCAGGAAATAATAATCACCTCTTGGCTCTCCAAAGCTTTGCTGTGTGCTGATGTGATTTTTTTAAGGATATATGCTCCCAGAGTTTCAGTGTTGCATTCACGTGCTGAAGGCAGAGTCTGACATGTGGGTTTCATCTGCTTGTTTTTCGGCTTTTTGTTGTTTCTTCATTTGCTGGAGTTACACTGAACTAAATCCACATAGTTGTCATGCTTCAGAGCCATTACTGTCTTTCAGGAACCACATCTGAGTGATCGTGTCAGAGTTTCCTCTGGTTTGATCTCTGTGCTTTGTACAAATGTTTTTGCAGAATAGAAAAAAAACTTTTTGACATTTGATCCAATGTTTCTGAGACCAAAGCAGCGAGGTGACGTCATCCTGTCGGCTGTCTTTAAGCTGTCTGGCAGTTTCCTGAAGGATCTTCTGTCTGTGGCGTTGTTGGTCTGGTGAAGGCGATGGAGTTTCTTATTTTTGGGTCTTTGGGTCCTGATTTGATTATTGATTATTTGTTAGACAGAAAGAAAAAGGTTGATGGTCAATCCGAGTCACACCTGAGTAACATCAGGGGGGAGAGAGCGGGGGTCAGGATGGGGACATAGCGTCTCAGTTTGGATGACCTCTGCTGCTGTTGTCTCTATGCCCGCAGCCTGAAGAGACAGCCTGCCGCTGGTTTCGGCCTCCAGTACAGAGCTGCAGTCTCCAGGTACAAACCCCTGCGGGCAGGTGCGCTCGCGGCCGTGGGCTTCACAGCACTCAGTAACACAGCAGCTGCTTTTAAACGGAGGCTTCTTCAGCTAAAACTCCTGGCGGCACACAAGTGGATTGTTAGGGTTTTGTGCACGGGTGGTGTTTGAACCCATAACTCTGGCAGTTCTGTCCGGATCATGTAACACCTGAGTAACAGTCAGTAACCTCACCATCGTTTCATCAGCTGAATAACAGGCTGAGTCTCTGCTAACGCCCTCTGAAGGAAGGACCTTTAAGCTTTTGTTGCTGTTTGTTAATGAAGCTGAATTCAGTTTTGGTTTGAAGCCCTCTACCCTAACACTAACCTTGTTTACATCAGGTAAGTCTGATACAGCTAACCTGCTGCTAAACACCCAGACCTGAGACTGATACCCCCAGAAAGAAAAACTGCAGGTTTACACCCCAAAACCTGTCAACACTTCTTGAAAGAGGACCCTTTGTGCTTCTGTCCTGCTCAACATTTTATTCTTTCTCTCAAACAAGCTGTTGATGCTAGTTTCTATATGCTTGTTGTCTGTGACAATATTATATTGGCACATCCAGAGAGTGTAAAAACATCATAAACATTCGAATCACTCCAAAGCCCAACTTTTTTCTCACAAATTAAATTTTTGATTCATAAAACAGTGCAGCAGCCTGGCTGTAATCACTGTTTACTGCAACTTATCTATATTCAGATGACGATTCACAGTTAGAACCAGTTTAAGAGCATTTTTGACTCAGTCCAGGATGCAACCAAACCTGAATGTGGTCTGTAGAGGTTTCTGTTTAAAAACAGTGAGTATCTGCACCTCAGGGGATGCTTGGAAGCCTAGACTAACCCTAACCGCCATATTCACAAAAATTAGAAGAAAGGTTAGTTAAACAGTTTAGAGAGAAATTTAAAACCAGCAGAAACAGTTACCTAAACCCGAAAAGCACATGGTTAACACTAAAATCGGCAAAACTGCTGAAAGAGTTCAACGTTATGGGTCATTTTTTAGCTGAAAATTCATAAATATATAAAAAAGTGAAAATAGTTAAATGTGCTCTAGAAAAGCTAGCTAGAAATTAAATTGATTGCTGAAATGCAGTTCAAATTAATAGCTCCACTGATGGAGCTATTAAGTTTTAAAAAGTTTTTAAAAGCGTTTCTGATCCACTCTAATCACATGGATAAATGACTACATAATATAAATACTACATGTATATAGTATTTGTTTGACTCTAAGCTCTGCAGAAGATTTCCTATGTACCCAGCTCTACTGTGTGTGTAACAACAGCAAAACTTTATCTTTATCTTAAATATCTGATATAGCTAATGAAATGCACGAACATGTAAGCATGTCAAAGACATCAATAATATCAGCTAAAACTTCATTCAATGTTGGAATATTTATCAAAGTAAATCTAGTGAATTCCACATATATTAGATGGAAACTGCTAGAAGAAAGCATTAAATTCTTAATAACACAGTGTTACAGCCTAAAAGTCAGACACAACAATGAAAAACGCATCTTTCAGGATCTTTACACCCATTGATGAGATTACAATTTGAGTCAGTGTTGATGACTAACTTAGCTTGTGGTTCGAAACATGCTTAGCTTAGTTAAAGTTTTTTGAGTACGACCTGAAGTAGTTAATACCATAACTACCACTGAGGCTAACTACTTGAGGCTCACTATGACTAAAAATCCCGGACGAGCCCCCAAGTACAAAACTGAACCTGATGACAGAACCATTTGGAAATCATTCTAAATAGGTAATAATGACATTTCTTTCCCTCTCCAGCCAGTACGGTGCACATCCTACCATGCAGCCGGCGCCACAAGTTCCACACCCACAGCAGTACCAGCCAATACCACAGCAATACCAACATGCACCTATGCAGCAAGCTCCACAAGCTCGGCCCCCACAGCAGTATCAACCAATGCCACAGCAGTACCAACAACCACCCACACAGCAGGCTCCACCCACTCAACAGAGCTCAATTCAGATCCCTGTTGGCTCCGCCCCCCCTAAGGTAGTCAGTACTGCCTGCATCTACCCTTCACAGCCAGGTGAGTTTCTGTTTTGTTTATATTAACTTGCACATATAATATTTATATGCACATATTTATACTTCTTCCACCCACAGCACCACCTATGGCTCCAGCTGCAGTGCCACCGCAGCACCGCCCTCCAGCCGCCGCCCCGGCCCCGCTTCTGGCTGCTCCAGCATCCTCCAACAGACCCCCGTGGGTGACCGACTCAAACTTCGCTGATAAGTTCGACCCCGGCAAGACCACCTCCGGCACCATCAAGGTGCAGCCACTGCCCCAGGCCGCCCCTCCCCCACCAGCGTACATCCCTAACCCCTCCCCTGCTGGGCATGCAGCTCCCAGCCCCGCCCCCATCACCCCCAGCCCTGGACCCATGACCTCTAGCCCCGCCCCCTTTCCACCTGTGGCCAGAGGCGTGGCCCAAAGAGCGGAGAGGTTTGCAGCCAGCAGTCGCACGCCTCTATGCGGGGCCTGCAACAGCGTCATCAGGTAACGCACTGACACACTTCTGGAGCCTCAAGTGGAGATCAGAGGAACTGCAGCTGTTGGTGCTTTATTATTTTGCTCCTGAGGTTCCTCCTTTGGGTTAAAACGAGTGACGTTAATGAAACGATGTCACTTTAAGGGCAAATTAAAATCAAATTACTTAAAATGCTGCTTCTGTTGTTGCAGGGGTCCATTCCTGGTGGCCCTCGGCCGGTCCTGGCACCCCGAGGAGTTTAACTGTCACTACTGCCACATGTCTCTGGCTGACGTCAGCTTCGTGGAGGAACAGAACAACGTGTACTGTGAGAACTGCTACGAGGAGTTTTTCGCCCCGACCTGCGCTCGCTGCAACACCAAGATCATGGGGGTGAGAAATTTTCAGACACCATTTCTGATTTTATTTTCCTTTATTTAATGTTATAAAACCATAAGTTTTGCACTGAAATGCCACCCATATGTGACACTAGAGGCTGATTAGACCTTATTAAATCTTGTCACGCTGTATGTCGCAGGAAGTGATGCACGCCCTACGGCAGACATGGCACACCACCTGCTTTGTGTGCGCTGCCTGTGGGAAAGCCTTTGGAAACAGCCTCTTCCACATGGAGGACGGAGAGCCGTACTGCGAGAAAGGTATGCCGACACCACGCCTTCATCACAGCTGCGAGAAAAGCTGCACAGACATCAGGCAGACGCAAAAAACTGTCACATGCATCACGCTCAGAGAAGGAACTGCTAATCAGAGTCTCAGTGCAGCCCCTCAATTTTAACTCCTCTTTCTTTTGATTGGCCCTGCCCCCACAAACAACAAGTGTGTGGAGCTTCTGTGTGCCCTGTGTGACATCAAAAAGATCCAAGAGTAGAACAAAGTGTGTGAAACAGATTAACAGGGATTACGTACTTCATGATTCACTGTTTTTGGACTCACGGCTGCCATCTTCAACACTTCCTATCTCTGTGTCGCTCAGATTACATCGCACTGTTCAGCACTAAGTGTCATGGGTGCGACTTCCCAGTGGAAGCTGGCGATAAGTTCATCGAGGCTCTGGGTCACACCTGGCACGATACCTGCTTTGTTTGTGCGGTAAGGACCACGAGCAGCTGGGTCTGAGGGGGTCCGGTTGTTTAAATCTTCGATGCAGGGGAGCAGAGGTCAGTTTGAAGTTTTTCACCCCGGTTTTCTCGTCTGCAGGTCTGCCACGTGAACCTCGAGGGTCAGCCCTTCTACTCAAAGAAAGATAAACCTCTGTGCAAGAAGCACGCTCATGCCATCAACGTGTAAACCCGCCGGATCACGCCTCATCATCACCACCAACATGTGTGGAAACGCTGGGTTTTTCTTTTTTTTGTGCAAATTTCAAATTTCTGCTGCCTGATGATTCTGCTTCAGATCCATCCGACCCGTCGCATCACGTACTGTGGTTTATTTTTCTACCAGAAAAAGTGTGTGTGTGTGTGAGAGACTGCTGAGCTGCAGAAATACAGGTGACTGTAGGGAGTCTGCAAGGTGCCAAATTAAATATTATATTTTTTAGTGTTTAATAATAATAATCAAACTTATAACAACAAAAATATTAAACTGGCTAAGCTATGCAATAAGGATTAAATAGATATTTAAGTAAGTCTAAATAATAATATTATAATATGAGGAAGAAATTCTTTCTAATAAATATCAAAAACAGAGTGTATGAAGTATGTTTATTTTTCTCTTAAACACGGGGTTAAAGTAGTGGGATATTTAGGGTTAAGAGGGTTAAGAGAGTTTTTTTTTATTATTTTGATAAAGTTATTATTTTTATGAAAAAAAATGTCAGAAATAAAAATTATTATAAAGTTTTATTAGTACTTTTTTTTGGCTTGGTTTGTAGTGTTTAAAATGTCAAGTTAACTTGTGAATTATTTCATATGAATGAAATTACAAATTTATTATAATTAAACTTTTTAGAGTGGCACTCTCTGGACTCCGTATAGCGGATATTGTTCTCACCATTTTTGGACTATTTTTGGTAATGTGCCTCTGTTGACTGTTTGAATGCGACTTTAATATTTTTATTTCCCTTTTAGACTAAAATAAAATTATATGAAAGTTTTTATGAGGCAATACGAAGTGAAACAACAGACTGCAGAGAAGCTGAAAAATCTATAAACAGCAGCAAATTGGAGATAAAAAAGACTGAAAAGTGTTTCTGGCGTTGCAACCTGTCGTCACTACTCCGACTCTGGGGGCATGAACACACGACAGGTGACACGTTTCTGTGGCCCCGCCTGAGCAGGTGAACCTCCAGATGTTTTAAATGTGAAAACCGCATCTAAACGCACAGAGATACTGTGTGAGTGACGGAGTCTAGATAAACTGGAAACGTTAAACTGACCACAGAAGCTGTTGGGCTCCAAGTGCAGGTGTGCTTCTGCTCTCACGCCGCACTAAGGTGCATTTGGACTTGTTTGTTCAGGTGAACCTGCTCAGGTGAGACAGCTCTTCGACTTCACGTGCTTCGGGGGGAGAAATAACCTTGAATTTCATATTTATTCGACAGTGTGATCTTTATTGAGACGCTAGTATATCGTCACTGCTGCGTGCAAATGATTAGTTATTTGATTCATGTTTGTTTCAGAGCGTTTGGCATCACGTGGTTAAGTTTGAGTACTGATTTCATGATGATTTATGTGTGTGTGTGTGTTTTAACTACACTGTAAATGTGATGACCTTAGTCTGACTGTTAACAACACAATGGCTCCGCTAGGGATGGGTATCGTTTAGGTTTTATCCGATACCGGTGCCAAATCGGTACTTTTGAAACGGTGCCGGTGCTTAAACGGTGCTCAAACCGGTGCTTAAAGAATGGAGAACACAAAATTGGTCCAAAAACCTCTCATGTTCAGCTGTTTTTTGTAAAAAGATAACAATGTTAGCCTTTTCTGCAGCTATGGGGCATATATGGTATCACTCTTGGCTGGAAGCAGTGCTTAAACAATGGAAAAAACACAAACTTTGTCCAAAAACCTCTCATGTTTAACTGTTTTCCACTTTTTCTTTGGTCATTTTAGCCTTTTTGGCCAGGGTGAAGGGAGTATCTGCCATCAAACAAGAAGACAGCCGCATGTAGCTATGATGATGTTTGCTAGTTCACCTTACATGCATTAATGTAGAAATCAGAATCAGAATACTTTATTGATCCCTGGGGGAAATTATTTTTTGTTACAGTGCTCCATTTTAAACCAACATTAAGACAAGACAGACAATACACTAACTAAGAATAGTACAATATATACATATATACACATACATACTTCACTCATAAATAAATAGTTGGAAAAGAAACATGTGTAGTTGTAGCAGCAAACAGTGTGTTAAGTGGATGCGTTGTACAGGGAGATGGCCACAGGCAGGAATGATTTCCTGTGTCGTTCAGTGGTGCTTTTCGGTAATCTCAGTCTCTCACTGAACGAGCTCCTGTGACTGACCAGCATGTCATGGAGTGGGTGGGAGGTGTTATCCAACATTGTCTTTATCTTGGACAGCATCCGCCTCTCCGACACCACCTTGAGGGGTCCAGCTCCATCCCCACAACATTACTGGCCTTACGATTAGTTTATTAAGTCTGTTGGCATCTGCGACCCTCAGCCTGCTCCCCCAGCATGCAACAGCATAGAGGATCGCACTGGCCACAACAGACTCATAGAAAATCCTCAGCATGTAATACGTGGTTAGCCTACTCAACGTAAATTACACACGAACAACATAAGCTACTCACGCAGAGAAGAACGGCTGCTGCTGCATCATCATCCTCATCATTTCTGCTACACTGGCAGGGCTAGGGGCCAGGACTCTCCTCTTCGGGTTTTTGGGGGATGTTGCTAACTCCGGGTCCGATAACAGGCACCACACCCGCAGTAGATGTGCTCGGTGTGAGGTCTCGCAGCAAGCTATCAAATACGGCGCATTTCTCGGCTTTAAAAAAACGCTATGCGTCGCCAGGTGTTTCATCGATTCGAGGTGTTACCTCCTTTGACAGTATCACAGTGTCAGCTTAAAGCACTTGTTGCTGCTGAGTTTGCATCTTTTGCTGTGAAGTACAGCCAGACTTTTGACCGCTTCGCCTTGGGCATTTTTAATCTGTAGCTCTGCTCTAAAAGAACGTACGTACCTGGCCCGCCTACTATCCTCGGAAACGTAAAATGATTGGCTAGAAGTGTATCACAGCTCAGGAAAAAAAAAGCACCGAAATGTGCGCTGCTTTTTGGTCTGGTTACTACCGTTTATGTCAGAACCGGTGCCATCATGGCACCGGACACCGGTACCCATCCCTAGGCTCCGCCCACACTGCAGACCGTGAATCCTCCCAAATCTGAAAAAGATTAGACTTTGTATTTTCTTTATTTTTTTTGTGGCATCAAACATGTGGCTGCTCTCATGGTTGTAAAACACAGAATAATCTTGTATGTACTTAGATCATTACAGTTGGGGAAACGGACTTCAGTGAAGGTTTTTAAAAGCGTTTCTCTGTTAATTTTCATACGTTTTTAATACAAAGACAGTTTTTAGGAGCCTCTCTTGGCCATTAAAGGAACATCAGCAAACCACAACTTAATTCAGATCTTTCATTTGACTTGTTCTCTGCTAAGACTTAATCATTAAGCACATAAAGACTTTTTTACATTTTAAAAACTACGCCATGATTCATGTTCTAATAACCAGTCACCCTATTTTAGCGTCCTCCTGTGGCCACTAGAAGAAGTGCAGCTAAGCAAACAGAAGCTCTTGGTGTATTAAAAAATTCTGTAAACAGAAGAAGGATTGTGTTTCTGAAAGCTGGATTTTCCTTTAAAAAATCTACGTTTTGGTTTTTTTACTTTGTTCCGCTTTTGTCATTAAAGGCAGCATGTTTTAGCACCACCTAGTGGCCAACAACAGAGCAAACCACAATGTAATTCAATTCCAGTCCTTTGTTGAGTTAAACTCTGTTGTAATGTTGGGTTGTGTTCAGTGGTTGAGAGGAGGCGGTCGAAACCTTAGCAGGATAGCAGGAAGAATACACGATCACACTGGTACTGGGAATTCCACAGCATATCCGTTAATGCACCTCCTCTTCATCAACCATACAAGGCCCGGTTGAACCGCTGCTACTTATCAAACATGACACACAGTGTTCATACAGCCCGTAACGTTGCAAAGGTTTCTGGAGAGCAAGCACTTTGTTCCCATAAATCACAGAGAGGGCAGTGGCGCACACTAATGACCTCATAACCCCTTGACTTATGTTACATTAAAGAGACACCACACCACTGTGACTGTTACAAACTGAATAATAGAGTATATAAAATAATTAAAATCATGTGACTTTGCTTACTTCCCAAACCGATTTAACAGTGCTGTGGTGTTTTAGTGGCCTCTGGTGGTGATTAGAGGAAGTGCAATTGCGCAAATGGAACTTTCATTATATTAAATCATTCTATAAACAGAAAAGACTTTGTGATAAGTTTCTAAGAGGTGAATTTAAAAAATGACTATAATGGGGGGTTTTGTTGTAATTTTTTCAAATGTAATTTTATTTTTGCATTTCACTACAAATCGTTTTGGGAACATCTAGAGGCCATGAGAGGAACCCCAACTAACCCCCATAACAATATAATATGATTCTTTTTTGAAAAATAAAATAAAACTCACATAAAAGAATGAAAAGCATCTGAACACACTTCGTATGTTATAGCAGCCTCAGGTGGCCACTAGAGGAACTGCAACTAAGCAAACAGAAACTTTCGGAATTGTGAAACGTTTGGTAAAAGAACAAGAGGAGCTTGGAACTAATTTTTATTTTATTTTTTTAAAGTACTACACTGTTTTCTGGAGAAAAATTTGATTTTTTCATCTTTAATTTGCTAGTACAGGCGAGGTGTTTTAGTTACACCTAGTGACCAGTAGAGGAACTGCAAATAAGTAAGCTTTTGGGTTGAGCACAGCTTATAAACTTTGGTTGTTGAGTAGTGTGAACAGAGCCTCTGATTCTTTGATTTAAACTTTAGTTTTATTCTGTGATTTAAATGAAAGTGTTTGTCTCCCTGCGGAGAACCGTGCCTTTGCTGAAATCCACCTCTGCTCGGTCTGACTGGCACACTGACCAGTTTGTGTGCCGGTGTACAGTTTTTACTCTGAATTGTACTTTTATACAGTTTGTGTGTTTTTCTGAGGATGAATGTGTGCATGCGGCATGTCAGGATCAGTTTGTGAAAAAAAGACAAGCTAACGCGTCTGTTCACCGTTATTTTTGAGTGTTTGTAAGTAATGATGTCGTACTGTGAGTGAAGAACTCTGCTTTACTTTTTGTTTAACAGGTTTTGAACATTTGAAGAGTTTTTGTGTTGCAGGTTGAATAAACTGAGCACTTCAAACACCTGGAAGCATCTTCTGGAAACATCTAATTGATTCATTTTTCTGATATGAAGATTTGTTTAAGAAGCAAGAAAATAAAAATATATTGAGCTCCTGAATGTGCAATCACAAATCAACAATTTTAAGCTAAAACTGAAATAATAAACTAAAACATATGAAATCTGGCAGGTGTTACAGAATGTTTCTACATTTTGAGAATAAACTAGGAATTCAATTCAATTCAGTTTTATTTATACAGCGCCAAATCACAACAACAGTCGCCTCAAGGTCTTTATATTGTAAAGTAGATCGCACAATAATACATACAGAGAAAAACCCAACAATCATGTGACCTCCTATGAGCAGCACTTTGGCGACAGTGGGAAGGAAAAACTCCCTTTTAACAGGAAGAAACCTCCAGCAGAACCAGGCTCAGGGAGGGGCGGGGCCATCTGCTGTGATTGGTTGGGGTGAGAGAAGGAAGACAGGATAAAGACATGCTGTGGAAGAGAGACAGAGGTTAATAACAGATATGATTCAATGCAGAGAGGTCTGTTAAACATAGTGAGTGAAACGAAAGAAAAACCCAGTGCATCATGGGAATCCCCCGGCAGCCTACGTCTATTGCAGCATAACTAAGGGAGGATTCAGGGTCACCTGGTCCAGCCCTAACTATATGCTTTAGCAAAAAGGAAAGTTTGAAGCCTAATCTTGAAAGTAGAGATAGTGTCTGTCTCCTGAATCCAAACTGGAAGCTGGTTCCACAGAAGAGGGGCCTGAAAACTGAAGGCTCTGCCTCCCATTCTACTTTTAAATACTCTAGGAACAACAAGTAGGCCTGCAGAGCGAGAGCGAAGTGCTCTAATAGGGTGATATGGTACTACAAGGTCATTAAAGTGATGGGCAGCGTTACTGTAATCTGATTACTTTTTTCAAGTAACGAGTAAAGTAAGGGATTACTATTGCAAAAATGGTAATTAGATTACCGTTACTTTCCCGTAGGAACGCTGCGTTACTGCGTTACTAAAACCGTGATTTTTTGCGAGAATGTCTCATGACAGTGACGTAAGCGAGTGCGACGTTCGTGACAACAGCTGTGTGCAGATCAACAATGGATCACATATCGAGTGCAGAGAGAGTATGAGCGTGCAGCGTTTAAAGCGTGGAAGTACTGACCTTACTTTGAGTTTGATTCCATAAAAAGTGACAAAAACATTAGTGTCCGCTGTGCGTGGGAAGAAAACTTCTTTTTACAGCGAAAAAACCCCTAAACTTCCAACAAGCACCGAGTAGCTACGACGTAATGGGAAACTCACAGAGAAACTCGCGGATTCTTCCACTGACCGCGGCACACCTGCACCAGGGTAAACCTCCGCCTACCCCACTCCTGCTTTACAGGTGAAAATAGAGCAACAGGACCGCTGAGTCTTTGACTTTATTTATTTTCTGCTGTGTTTTACTTGCATCTATTTGAAAGACTGA